AGAAAACTATCATTTCAAACCATGCGAGAAATAACAGTGAATGGATATGAGGAAGTAAAGGACGCTCTATCGTCTGCAGATGGTCGAGTCTTCATACTGTTCACTGGATCTAAAGTTGACGGGAAGAGTTGGTGTCCAGACTGTGTTGCAGGTATCTTGTCATAGAAGTTGACTTTGTTTGACGTACAAGTTTAGCACTGATGTAGGTGGGTTTGGAGGGAAGACAGATGGGACGATCGTGGTTTGTCGCGTCGCCGCGCGCGGTGTGTTGCGGCGATGCGCGATAAATTCTGAATGTGCATCAATTTGTCGATTGGATCAGTGTAACTTATGATTTCAAGCGGGGACAAGAGTCCATGACTGGCTATAGCGAGTTTTTGTGCCCCTAAAAGCTCACATTCGAGCAGCCAGGCCGACAACTCGTCTGTCGAGTCGCTCGCCACGCCCATCAGCGCGACATGTTACGATTCTCTTGTCACCTACAGTTAACAGTTGCTGGTAGGATCGGCAGCTGTTTGGCGCCTCTCCGTTCACAACTTTGTTCATGGACTGCCCTCCCTCTCTCCAGAATATCGATTTATCTTCATTGTATGTGTTAGTCTTGATTTTGCAGCTGAACCAGTCATAGAATCAGTAGTGAACAGCGAAGATGCCAAATCCCTTGGAGCTACGTTCATAACTTGTTTCGTTGGAGCAAGAGAATAGTGAGTTGCTTTAGGATTCCCTCTTCGAGGATTTGAAAAATCCTACTTATTTCAGTTGGAAAGACCCGAACTGTCCATTTCGAACGGATCCAAAGTTTAAGCTCACTTGTGTTCCTACCTTAATAGAATGGGACAAAAAGGTGAGATGATCGTGTTTTTTGATAATGCTTAATCAGGATAATCTCCCATCAATGGGCTTCACGCTCACGTGACGCTTGAGCAGTGGAAACATTCTTTTCAATAAACTGAGGAAGCGGACGTGAAGGGGGGGGGGGTGGTCAGGGAGAGGAAGACAGTCTAGCAATTTGGCATTGGACTTCAATCTGTGTTTGGTACGTTGAGTCCCAATGAAACCGTTCTGCAAACGTTATGCTAGTGAACGTATCCTTGGTTGAAGAAATATTCAAAAGTCTTCTGTAATGACTAAACACTTCACAATTCCGATTTCTTCCCTTCTTTTTATTATTATTCTTTTAGCACAAACGATTGACGGAAAATCAACTGACGAATAAGGACATGATAAAGGATTTATTTTTTGAGTGACCCTTAATAACGCTGTGATAGCTATTGACATTCTGTGATTTTTCGAATGCGGTTTACTTAAATGAATTGGTGTTGGTTTTTGCACGTTTTACTTTAACTGAATAAATTTTCTTTGAGGAGTCACATTCAGACGCACGATTTTACGATTACTTTAAGTAGTAGTCATCAGATCGTAAAATGACGAAATGTACGGTCTAGTTAGCCGCGAATGAAATGGCGTGTCGGGAGGAGTGGTTTTGTGCGGCGCCAGACCCGTTTTTCACCAGTTTTCAAAGCGAGCTAGTAACAGGACCATCATGTCATCCGTATCAGCTGTTTTCCAGCAAGTGTTGTCGTTTATACGCTTCAACATGTGGTGTAGAAGGGTTTGGCGTCAATCCAAACCCGCTTGAAACGCCCCTTCATCCGCAATGAACCAGACTGTACGTCATGATCAGTGCTTTTCGGCTGTGGTTAATGTGCGTATTTCACAGCGGTTGTTCTGTATCTACAATGAGGCTTATTTTAGTGTGTCTTTCACATTATAAGGGGTTTTCTGCTAAATTTGAAGAAAATACCCTAATTGTAGGGTTGGATTGGGCCCATTGCGGAATAATATTCACCTCCTGCACTTCTACCTGCACGGGAGATATTTGCGTCGAGGCCTACAACTTTGAATAAACTGTTTCATCTCTAAAGTCATAACCGGCAGTACCAGCAACGTAAAGCACCGAAGCAAATGATTTTTTTTGCATATGATTCCCCTAGAGTTGTAAGAGCATACAATAGCAATGGAACAATGCAATACTACTGGCAATATCTACACCTGAGGCATTCAGTAAAAGTCAGTCTAGGAGCCCGCGGTCCCAGTAGAAGGGACGCCCAGAGCTTGAATTGCATTTTTAAGCGGTTTTTCTTATAGTGTATTATATACCATTGTGCTTTGAATAGGATACTTTTCAGACCAAATCGGACTCTTTTCAAACCAAACCGGACAGACCTCTTACACCTAGCTGCTGATAACTAGACCCTACTCGGTACCGCTCTAAGCCCCACCCCAACAAACCCCGCCCTCTTCATAAAGCTGCGCCCATTTTAGAAAAGTGGTCCAAATGGCCAGTGTCCGAACTGGCAGGTTATGGTTTCTTCCGTCACCCGCAACGAAAAACTTTTCCGGGTGACGGAAGAGACGACAACCCGCCAGTTCGTATACTAGCCTGCCGATTTGGATCATTTTCCAAAAGCGGGCGGAGGTTCTGTGAAACGGCCGAGGCTCCTAAATGTGGGCTGGTCCGCCTGGAAGGGCGAAAATCTTGAAGAAAAGATCGAAATTCCCCAAAAGTAGGCGTGCTTATGGTTAGATCGGCGGGGCTCAGTGTGCCTGTGCACAGATGCATCTACGAGTACAGTCGTTTTGTGAAGGATGATGTGAAAAGAACGACGTCGAAAAAAGTTACAAAAATTCAGAACTTACGTGACTTCATTGAGAAGTGGGCGGAGTCAGATCTGTGTCGGTACCAATACTTTCACTTGGAGCGTGTGCGAAATAGCAAAAGTGCAAAAAAGTCAGAGGAACAGAGTTCATAACATGAATTCTGGAAAACCAGGACCGCGTTGAGAAGTGGGCGGCATTGTTGGGGCGGGGCTTGCAGCAGTACCTAGTGTGGTCTAGTTGTCAAAACTAATTGTAAGAGGTGTGTCCGATTTGATTTGAAAAGTGTCTGATTTGGTTTGTAAAGTGTCCGACGGTTTGAGAAGTGACCAATTTAGAATGAAAATGGTATATATGGAGAGATGTTTATTTTAAAAATTATTTTTGTCTGCACATTGCCAGCGTCTGTGATGACATTTCCTTTCCAGTTCATTTTGTGGTTTGAACACAAACCCTTGCAACCGGTGATGTAAGGATCCGCTGATTTCATGGTCAGCCTGTATTCAAATGAATGACCTGAGCGTAAAGTTGACAGACATGTCCTTCTCATAATCTTAGAAATAATCTTCATAATAATATTTTTTCGCGTCAAAATGCTACAGAAATGTTTTTGTTTTGATGTTTGCTTGGTCCGCAAAAACACATGCGACTGGCTGCGCCTTCGAGTGAGCCTGAAAAGTTTGTTCATGAAATCTTCGACATCATCAAAATAATTGATAGTAACAGAATTCTACAATATCAGTCATACTTAAAAGTACATTCCATGGTTATCCGGTGGCGGGGTCCCACAGGTTGTGCCACCCTCATTGGCGCGCTAGTGACAAGTGCACCACGGTTGCGAGCCTCCATTCAATTCTTCGCCCTATGGGATTCACCCAATTAAGGGAGGTGCTGTGATCTATTACTAGCTTTTTGACTCTTGACCTCATTGCTAGGGACCTTGCGCATACCTCCAACCGTAGTTGAAACATACCTTGGCAACAATACCATGGGAACGGGGTGAGAAGTGTGGTGCTGCTGGCGGGCTGGATGGTGAAAAAGCTCGATATAAAATCTCGCATGGAAGTCCAGAATGAGTCAGTGCTGTCACATGTATGTAGAGATGACACGCAGAACCCTAGTTTCCGCCTGCGTAAAATGGTTACAAGGATGTAGTGTGAGGCATGAGCTGCATTTTCGATGAATTCCTTGCTACTGCATTCTGAGGTCAGAGTGCGCAGATAAAGGGGAGTCAAATTACGTTGTTCACGGGTCTTAAAGACACATGGTACGATCACACATAGTTTGGGTGTGCGTGACTATCAGCCCCAGCTGTCGAAGCGTAGCGGTTTCCCCGTCCTAACATGCGCAGGAATGGAGATACAGGACCGTGAAACACGCTAATTCCTCCATGCTCCGCCCAATGCCTTTTGCGGCGCAACTCCCGTTCATGCTAACAGCTGTCGTGTGCGCGCGTGTCGCGTGCAGCTTCTTGGCACTTTGCCAAGTC